CCATTGATTTGAAAAACTATTTTTGAAATCAATGACAACGATTTTTACAACTTACACATTGTCAAACTCATTGTACAAATAGATTAACTCTTGAGCATATAAGATACTTTCTTCTTCGGTGGGTAATTGAGCAATATAGAATTACTAGTGAATTTGTGAAAACCAAGACTTTGAAGTTTTTATAACTTGATTTTTTTTCTTATTTTCAAATTTGCTATGATTACTTTTGTGTGTATATATATATTTTTAAAATTTTCAAAATCATTTATTGATATAGTTCAAATTTGGCTCAATTCGACCTTTTAATCCTTACTTTTTTTGGATCGATGTCTTATTGATTTATGAAACAACTGTAGTGATGATTCGGCCCTAACCCACATTTACAATGTGTATCACAAAACTTGAAGAGGGAATTACATAAAACCAGAATTTTAAAGATTCAATTTCAAAAATCAAAGATAAAATTTATTTATACAATAATTAATATTAATAATTCAACCAAAATTGAAAATTCAACGCAAACCCTCCTCTCTCATTTCTCTCTCTACCTCCCTCACTCACGACAGTCGACTTCCTCCATTCTCTCCATATCCATCGAACATCACAGCTGTTGGCGTCTCGTTTTCGATTACCGTCTTCATTGTTGAAAATCGACAATTCTCTCTCTATGTTCTCGCCTGTCTCTCTACCGGAAAGTGACCCCTGCCGAAATGAAGCCTCGAGAAGCAGCTGAACATCACCACCTCTATCACAGGTCACTTCAGGGCGAAGTCGCATGATGTAACTCGTGATTCGTGAAACAGATCTGTAAGATCTGCAAGAAGAAAAATAGATCTTTTGAGATGAGATCGGGGTTTATTGCTGTGTTGTGGGTTGTGGTGGCGGCTACAATCATATGGTGGTGGTGGTGGTGGTGATGTTCGCTGTGGTAGTGGAGTTGGGAATGACTTTGGATTGAGTTGTTATCTGTGGTATTTTTTTGGTGATATTTGGGTGGTGGTGGTGGCTACTTACATATTTTGGCATTGGTGGTGATGGTCGACGGTGGTGGTCGTGGAAGTAGGTGCAGTGGTGATTGTGGTACGTTGGTGTTCTGCGATGTGTTGAGGTGGTGGTGGTTCTAGTGGGTGGAACTAGCTGAAAAATTACTTTTGGGTGGTGTTGGTGAGGTTGTGAATTAAGCATTGTTAGTATGTTTGCTGGCGGTTGTTGTGGTTGTGGTTGTGGTTGTGGTTGTGGTTGTGGTGGTTTTTGGCGACGATGGAGATTGTTGGTTTCGGAGTTTGGTGTGTGGTGGTGGTGTGGTACTGTGATGGTTGTCGTGGCGGGTGGTGGTCAGCGTAGATGGGATGGGATGTAGGGGGTGTTTGTGACCAGTAATTTGTGTCTAATAAATAATATGTAACCTAAAAAATGTAATTGTGACCATAATTTATTAAGTTGTGACCAATAAAAATTTTGATTTTTTAATCAATCAATGAATTGTGACTTATGAAATTTTTTATTTGTGATTGATCAATGAGATGTGACTAGTAAAAAAATTGATTTTGTGAACGATCAAAGAATTGTGACCTATGAAATTTTTTATTTGTGATTGACAAATGAATTGTGGCCAATAAAAAAATTGATTTTGTGACCAATCAATGAATTGTGACCTATGAAATTTTTGATTTGTAACCGACAAATGAGTTGTGACAAATAAAAATTTTGATTTGTGACCGATCAATGAATTGCAACGTATGAAAATTTTTATTTGTGACCGACCAATAATTTGTGACCTATAACATTTTGAATTTGTGATTTATAAATAATTTGTGACCAATTAACTTGATAAATTGTGACTAAATATATAGATTTGTGACCTTAATATATTTAATTAATAAAATATTTTTAATCAATTATTTCATTAATAAATTTTAATAGTATTTGAAATTTGAAATTGCAAACCTTCTTCTCTTAATTTTGAAGTAGGCTATAAATAAACTCTTACAAACGAATTTTTCCCAAACTTGAATGGTAACAAGTGTCTTAATCTGGTGGGGGCCTACTAGCGACATAAGACCTTGAAGCAGGTGATCCACTGCTAGTGCTGTCACTTTGCCCTTTTTTATTCTTATTATTTTCAAAATTTATTTTTCTTTCTCTTTTTTAAATTATATAATTTTTTAATAAAATAATATTACACGTAAATTTATAATTTTTCTTTTTTTAAATCATATATTTTCCATCAATCTACTATTACAAAATATATTTTTACAATAAAATGGGGCTCAAACAAATTCTTTAGCATGGCCGAATAGATCCGTCAAACTTGGCGGATACATGGAGCTGCATTTTTGTGCTGACCCGATCCATTTTCAACCCGTTTAACTAATTTATATTTCATATTTGCATGCAATGAGAGCACCAAAGTAGACACCCCATATTCTTCCATCATCGAGTTGTTTTAATAGTATGTTTTAATATTCAAAATTTACTATTGTTGATAAAGTCAATGTCGAAAAACGTTAAAAGAATATTTCACAATATATATACAAGACAAGTGATGCTCCCGTGAGAGCCGATTAAACTAATATTTCATAATTTAGGCATTCAATCCGAGCTCGAATCTATACCAAAAATTAGGAGCCGATCACAGCACAATTTTAATCAACTACAAACCAACAACATATTTTAAACCAATTGAAACGCGAACATCTCAACTATCACACTTGAAAGTATCCACTTACCACTCCTTATACTTCTCTTAGCCGACTACATATTGTTAACACATTTGATTGTAACTAATGTGACTGATTTCTTGTCGTTAATTTAAGTTGATGCAAAAAGATAAATATTTTAGAGATACGTGATCAGAGAATGATTTTAAAAACACTTATATTTAATTAGTCACACGTGGTTTTATAATTATTTTCATCAACTTAACAATTCAAAATAAAACATGCTAAAAGTGGAAAATGTTGTTGAGAATGGTCAAATTTAATTTCCAATTTGATTCTCTTTTGCGATATTTGGCTGGTACTGATTGGCCCTTTTAGGTGACGAGAAACCAATCTTTCCTACCCAATAAACCTGATTAATTAAAAGCATGAGGTAGTTTATGTGTGACATACTCTGGGATCTCAAATGAAAGCAAGACGCGTAACGGATCCAAGAAAAAAATCAGGACAGGCTAATACACGAATAAAAATTAAAATTAAAATTAAAAAAATTCACACATAGAAAACAATTTTTACTTACTTTTTTTAATTAACATTTAGATCCGCGTCCGCCCCTAGTGTCATATATACATGCAATGGAATTAAAGCGAGAAATCCCATCCTTCTCTTTCCTTTTTTTGCCCTATGTCACCCCGAATTAAAAAAACTAAGATGATTATTGCAAGTCTATCATTATTATGATATTACATATTTCAATTTTGGATATTTCATTTCTTTAAATTATGTGGGATTTGTTGAGAGTTGGCTAACCAACAAGGAATCCTTCCCGTCTTTGAAAGTTTGAAAAAGGGGGCATTTCCGATTCTATCAGTGCTTCAAACAGACATCCACGATAGAAATATGCACCCTACCTCTAAATTAAAGGTGAGCTACTAGCACTGTGCTTCTTTAGGTAAGGGGAGAACAAAGACTTCCCCAATATTTTCTTTTTCTTTTTTTCATTTTTTTTTAAAATTGGAACTGTGATTATTAATATTCAATGGGGTTAAAACTTATCAAATCAGACATTCAAGATTAAATCAAGTTAATTTATGGGATTGACCATCATCCGGTCGAAGGTCTTAAGATGCATTTTGTCCTAAAATATGACTTGAAATTTATCATCATGACTAATTTCGTGTTGAAAAATAGAATTCTACATTAATCCCTGTAAAAATCAGACATAGTATTATCGGAATATGACAATAATATATCACTCTTAATTCACTAAAGATAACGAGTCTTGTATAATCAATTTCAAATCCCATAAATTTCAATATATACTCATTCAATCCTAAATTTTCTCGAGCCTAATATTTTGTCCAAACAATTTTAAATATTGTCGAATCAATCTCGTCGCTTAAAATGACGTCTAGATTCTACTCTATCAAGAGACACTTAGACCCTACTAAATGTACAATACTTGTCATCATATTCATTTCTATGTATGAAAATTCACAAGCTATTATAATTTATCTTTCCGTCCATATTATTTCATTTATGATCACCTCAAGTATTGAAGTGCCGTGAGTTGTGAATATTAATATCCATCGAGCATCATTAAATTAGTCAAAACCCAAGTCAAATACACACAGATAAGGTTTATCTTATGCATTGATGTCAACCATTAATGGGGGAATTATGTAATCAGATTTTCAATTTGAAGATCGAGAAAATTAATTGCAAATTACGTGGCATTAATCTTATCTATAACAAATTCCATACAATAAAATTTTTAGTCAAAAAAATTGCTCTCTCTCGAAATACTTCATTATAATTCTCATTACAGCAGATATCTTAGTGTATCTCCACTAATATGCTTTAGAAGTTTGAGATAAGAATCTTATTGTAGAGCTAAATGTGTAATACGAGCATTTTAGCTAAGTATAAAATTTCGTTTATCAATTTTAATCATTATTACATGTGAATTCATTGAAATAAGTTAATATGTATATTTTTACTCATATACGCAAGTATCAAATAAGCGTCACCCAAACACAAAAGACAAAAAAATACTTAAAAGTAGTGGTATAATAGGAACTTGTCGGTGCATATGAGGCGAAGTTTTTAACATGTCGTCTTTACAAAAACTTGAAAAAAGCCAGGGTCGATGAACCAGCCCGAGGCCCCGAGCACAGCTTGTTATCGTGGAATGGTCGACTCATTCTGATCGCATTCCGTGTGACCCATTACTCTCCTTTATAATTTTCCCAAATAAGCACTTGTATGGTTTATCAATTTTTTTCCTTTTTCCACCAATAAAAGAGAAAGCTATTCAAATTTTACTCTCTCTCCTTTATTTTAGATTTACTAACTACTCCACTAATCACTATATAAAGCCATCTCCATCGTACCCCAATAACACTACTTTCTTCTTCTTTTCTCGTCTCTCTATAAGCACTGATTTTGGCCTGAAAATGGATAACACAGATTTTGAGTGTGTACACAGAGTAGTAATTCCACCACCACAGCCATTTGTGAAGTCGTTAAAGAACAATCTCAAGGAAACTTTTTTTCCCGACGATCCACTCCGGCAATTCAAGAACCAGCCGCCGGCGAGGAGGATCATATTAGGCCTCCAGTACGTTTTTCCGATACTCGAATGGGGCCGGAAATATAGTTTGGAGTTCTTCAAGGCTGATCTTATTGCCGGAATCACCATAGCCAGTCTTGCTATTCCTCAAGGAATAAGTTATGCAAAGCTTGCAAATTTGCCTCCAATTCTCGGCCTATGTGAGTACTACTAAATATTAATATTATACGAGCATTAGACCTGACCGCGTTGTGTTAGAAAAGAAAAAGTTAAAATCTTGTTAAGAACATTAGGCCAGCGGATTGTAAAAACCCACTTTTCGAATTTCTTTTCCTTCTTTTCTGGATCAAACATCAATTTATTGCAAAGATTCGACAGACGGTTCATTAGGATAGATTTAGATGAATAATACCCCTCGTATAGAAAGTTTTCGAAGTTGCACATTCCCTTTCCTGTAACAATCCGGGGAAAAAAGAGTTGCTAACTTAAAATAAAATACTTTTTTCTTACTAGCTGTGATCCGTTGAACATGGATATCCAATTTTTCTAAACGTTCTTTTGGTTCCTTAATTCCATCTCGTCTATCGTACCAAGCATGCAATCTTATCTGAATTTTTGTTGCTCGGTGCACCAGATTCGAGCTTTGTCCCGCCATTGGTCTACGCAGTAATGGGAAGTTCAAGGGATTTGGCGGTTGGGACTGTTGCTGTTGGATCACTTCTCATAGCTTCAATGCTGAGTGATGTAGTGAATATAAATGATAACCCCACACTCTATCTTCATCTTGCTTTTACAGCAACACTCTTCGCCGGGCTTCTTGAAGCAGCTTTAGGCATTTTCAGGTAAATATATTCGATGAACGAGATTTTAGCTTCTTAAACATATCAATATATGAATTTATTTTAATTTATTAATTATTTATGGCAGGCTAGGGTTCATAGTGGATTTTCTATCCCATGCAACAATAGTAGGGTTCATGGGTGGTGCAGCCACTGTTGTGAGCCTACAACAATTAAAAGGGATACTTGGCCTTAGCCATTTTACTCATGCCACTGATGTTGTCTCGGTTATGAGTTCTATTTTTTCTCAAACTCATAAGGTTTTTCTCTCGATATCTCTCTCTAAAGTATACTGTAGTTGCCTCTTGTGTGAGCGGTGCTAGAAGGGACGAGCAAAACGTGCACATTGAACCTTGTCGTGTGCGTGCAGTGCCCCTTGGGCGCAGCATGTGTGGCAACGTCGTGGGTGTTTGCACGTTCTTGCCCCTTGTCAACACGGGTTTCTTGTCAATGTGAGACCGTCGAATCTCGACTTATTTAAAAAATTGGCCATAGCTCACAATTTTTGACCAACATACGTAACAACGACTTCAAATTTATGGAGAATAAAAGGATACAATATATCATAGATTTCATAGTGGTTGTTTTATACTTTCTTTTTTTGTGTATTGAAGCCAATTTTGATTGCTCTATGGACAGTGGAGATGGGAAAGTGCATTGCTTGGATGTTGTTTTCTATTCTACCTACTGGTTGCAAGATATTTTGTAAGTAAAATGTCACATTTTTCTTCATTATTGATTAAAATGTTTAATGCAACACTTTTTTTGCATTTTTACTCCATCAATATTAATTATTTTTTCATCACTTATCCTCTTACTGCATGAAGTGATTGCCCGCCAATCTTCGTTTGTTGAGTAAACTGATAGGTTAAGACAAGTCTTCAAGAATATTGTTGGGCTAATAATTTAACACCAACACGCTTACTTCTGAGTAATTTCTTGCTTTTTTTTAATTAACAAGACTCATTTTTCAAACCCAACCTACTCCAATTGTTTTAAAGCGCGTTTCGCCGGCTCGACCAAGTCGAAGCTAAAATTTTGTGTATTGTCATCTGTTTAATACTGTGCAACGAACATGCAGAGCAAAAAGAGACCAAATCTCTTTTGGATATCGGCAACAGCTCCGTTGACTTCCGTTATTTTGGGAACTCTAGTGGTTTACCTTACCAACGCTGAAAAGCATGGTGTTCAAGTGGTAAGCCATTCACTCACCTAATGATTAAGTAACTTAGAATAATTTTTAAAGTAAAAGAGAAGATAAAAATTGTACATGATTTTACATTTGAATGTGTAAACAGATTGGACACTTAAAGAAAGGGATAAATCCACCATCAATTATGGATCTTGAATTTGGATCACAATATCTGGCAACAGTAACCAGAACTGGCATTGTCACGGCCATCATTTCTCTTGCAGTAAGTTTTTATACTCCCCTCGCCCCACCCTTTTGTAGACTCCTGCGGTGATAAATTTGGTAGGTGACCTGGGGTGGGGCCCATAGGGAGACGGGAAGAAGGACTATAGTCTACATGTATTAGAATCAGGGCGGACCCACATGGAGTCATCTGACCCCTATATATATATATTATTTTTTTAAAAATGGTTGTTTTAACCTATTTTCGATCCATTTTAATACATACCAAATGAAATCGAAATATTGCATTCTTAATATCATTTCTAAACATTCATGGCCTAGTTTTTCGCTTTTTAATGGTGTGCGAAATGATCGACCATAGCAAAAAATACGATGTATTAAAATAGGTCGTTTCAAATTAGTATTTCGAAAATTTTGATAATATGCTAACTTTTAAAATTTGTCAATGATCATATATTATCCAAATTTACAAATAGCTTGCATCATCTAGAAGTTCGTTATGAAAACTACATCGTAGTCATATTAAATAGTCCAAACAGTTATCGAAAATATTTAAATATGCATCAAACGTACATATTAAAAGAGACATTTTACTCGTCTTTTAAAAAAAATCAATTATTTCATTAACGTTTATTATTTTTTCACGATAAATTTTCCAATATAATTTACATAATTTTATTAGGAAATTTTACATTAAATATGATGTCAAAAATTCTAAAATCGTTACGGATTAAATGTAATTTGAATTACTTTCAAATTATTTTTTTGTTAAACTTAAATTTCCTTTACTTCTTACGTCCAATTTGATTTACTTATTGTTAGCTCAACATCCATAAATGATATGATAAACAACACTATACATGTAGCAAAATTTATTTAACAATATTGATAATGATAGGATTATAAGACGCTTTCAAGATATCAAAATACATATTAACTTATTTTTATAAATATTATATTGTTTTAAAAAATTACACATTAATTTTTGGAGCTAAGTACAACCCGTGAGGATGAACTCGCAAGTGATCGCACACTCACATGCCCAGCGAGGTCCCCGTGAATAAAATAATCCCGACTTCACGTGTGTGTTGTGTCAATCCCGCGGTCATTCATGTAGACACTGTAGCATGACTCTAATTTTTGACCCCACAACCCAAAACGGTTGGGTCTGCCCCTGATTAGAATGCATGTGTCAAGCATGGCTCGGTGGGGGACAAGGAGAAAGACGATTTTCTGGAGGTATTATAATGTGTTCAGCATAGCCCGATGGGGGACGAGAAGAAGGACCATTGCTTAGAGCCTAGAGGTATTAGAATGTTTCGAGCATGTCTCCATGGGGATGGGGAGAAGGACCATTGTCTAGAGGTGTCAGAATGTGTCTAGCGGCCTAACACGAGAAACTTGTATAAGTATAGGTAGAAGGGCAAAATTTTATTGACCCCAATACTAAGAAAAGGGCATGCACGACCCCATTTACACTTCTAATTCCGTGATGACATGGTTTTCCTATATCTTTTTTTAGTGACATTGGTAATGTGTATTGAAACAGGAAGGTATAGCAGTGGGCAGAAGCTTTGCCATGTTCAAGAATTACCATATTGATGGAAACAAAGAAATGATTGCTTTTGGAATGATGAACATTGTTGGTTCTTGCACTTCCTCTTACCTCACTACTGGTATGGCTCTCTCACAGGCAATCTATCAAACACAAATCTGGATTATGTGCATCTGATTAATTGAATCTTTCCAAAAAAAATTCAAGAATCAAATTCGTAAGACAAGAAATTTAACCCTTGTCTGCCCTCATTTTTTCATCAAAATCATTTTGAACCATAAATTTTATAAGACCTACAACCTTTATCAGATTTTCAACCACATATTTCATCAATTTTTATCAAAATATACTAAAAATCTGAGTTTTATCTAAAACAATCAGGGCATTTGTATCCAAAGTATTATAATCAACCCATATTTCAACAATTATGTATCTTCGGAATTAGACTTATACCATGATAATTGCCTTCTTGTAGCCATGTGGTGTAACGAAGAAATAGATCGTAATTACAACAATAATAACAAACCCAAGTTATATCGAGGCTTGAGACTGCGTTTAACTTACAGGAAAAAATCGGGTTTCATTCTCGAATTAGACTATGACCAGAATTCATTTGGGTGTATCTTATTTCACACGTTTGCTATCAGATTGAAGTGCTAAATGTTTGCTTGTGGACATTGAATTTTCAGGGCCATTTTCACGGTCAGCAGTGAACTTCAATGCAGGATGCAAAACAGCAGTTTCCAACATTGTTATGGCATTAACAGTGATGATAACATTGTTGTTCTTAACACCATTGTTCCACCATACCCCACTTCTTGTTCTGTCTTCAATCATAATTGCTGCAATGCTTGGCCTAATAGACTATAAAGCAGCAATTCATCTTTGGCACGTAGACAAATTCGACTTCGTAGTGTGCATGAGTGCTTATTTTGGCGTCGTTTTTGCCGACATTGAGATTGGCCTAATCTTGGCAGTAAGAACCTACGTGTTGTATCGAACGCTAAGAGCATGAATCGTGTACGGAACTAGACGTTTGAAGAACTAATCGTGTTTGTGTAAATGCAGGTGGGATTATCTGTGCTTAGGGTGCTGTTATTTGTTGCAAGACCGAGAACCTTTGTTCTTGGAAATATCCCAGAAACTAGGATTTACCGAAGTGTCGATCAATATCCAAACGCGAATAATGTTCCTGGGATTTTGATACTTGAGATCGATGCTCCTATTTACTTTGCGAATGCTAGCTACTTGAGAGAAAGGTCTTGTAATCTAATTGTTTTCTTGACAAGAATTCTTGGCAACGTTGTGTTACTAACTTTTTCGTTTTAATTTTAATTGCAGAATTTCAAGATGGATCGACAATGAAGAAGATGAGATAAAATTGTCGGAAAAAATGAGCTTACAGTATGTCATACTGGACATGAGTGGTCAGTGATCAACTTTAAGAACCCTACATAAATCTCTTCGGAAGAACTCAAGTCCCTGTATCTTTTAAAACTCATTTTTGCCTAACTCATTTTAATTCACACATCACAACTTTTATCAATTTTTCAATCACACATTTTATCAACTTTAAACAAAATCTACTGAAAATCAAAATAGGGCTAAAACTAAATTTGACATTTTGACTTCTTATATGATATTGCCAGCTGTTGGAAACATTGATACGAGCGGGATTAGCATGCTTGAGGAGGTTAAAAAGATCATCGATAGAAGAGGCCTCAAGGTTAGTCTTCTTTATCTCTTACAATCTTGTTGACTTTGCCCTGTCCATTTTATACCTTAAGATCAACCTAAGCAACGAAAAAAGATTCATATGATCGATCAAGAATAAGGGTTCGTTTGTTTTACTGGTGCATTTGCAGCTTGTACTGGCCAACCCTGGTGGTGAGGTGATGAAGAAGCTAAACAAGTCAAAATTCATAGAAACAATAGGGCATGAATGGATTTTCTTGACAGTGGGAGAGGCTGTAGGAGCATGCAATTACAGGCTTCACACTTGCCAACCCAATTTGGCTTCCTCTGATGAACTGAATATATATAGCAGCAATGTGTAACCTATTTGTACAGCAAAGCTCTGCAACTTATGCTAAAATATTTACAAATAGAACACTTGACTTGTTACTAGAGCCAAAACAAGTTGTTCACCAAGCGTCCGTTTGATTGCAAAAATGAAATTGAATTGCCTAGAATTGTTTTCCTGAGAATTGTAAATTATTGTGTTCGATTGGTATAATTTTCCAGGTGGAAAATGCTGAAATAAAAATGTTTTTTTTATATTCGTTTGGCTTTATTTTACATGGAAATTGTCAATTAAAGGAAAATATTTTTTTACAATAATTCTTAGGATTGGTTTCTATTACCAACAAAAAAAAAAAAAAAAAAAAAAAAAAAAAAAAAAAAAAAAAAAAAAAAAAAATTCCAAATTTAACCAAAACAAGGAAAATTCCAAGTTTCAAGAAATGCAATTCCATAGAAAATATAAGGTATCAAACACCAAAAGTTGGAATTTTCAATTCCAATTCAATCTTTTTTTTTCCCATTTTCATGCTATCAAACACTCCCTAAAAGTAGTTTCAGACTAAGACATGCTTGAAAAATTCGTTTTAGAAGTATCAAAAACAACAACGATGACATAAGAAATTAGATCCCTCGTGTCATGCTCAGTTTATCAATCATTGAGGAACTCAAATTTGATACCAAGCCCAAAGAATAAATTAAACAAATGCATCTCCACTTGAGACAAAAAAATCTTGACATTACCCTTAAAGGCGAGCAAGATTCTTAACAATCGGATAAGATACTCTTAATAAATAAATTGTTGAAGTTTTATGTTGACATTTTTTCATCTTTATCGTCAATGCAGAATGCACGTGATATTTATAGAATTAACCAAATAGTAGGGAAATAAAAAACTAAATATAAAGGTTCACTAGTTGGAAATCTTAAAAGTGGCGCAACAATGTAAATGAAATAAGGGAGACATCAAAATCGTTTTTCACCGTGATTTGATGCTATTTGTTTACATTTTTGGACATTCAACTTTAGCACGGCCCATCTGAAAATCGTTCGTTCGATTTTCCAGTTTGAATCTGCTAAATAGTATAAAGTGAAAATTACAGTCATCCCTAATTTTCAAGTCCCTAATCCAAAGTTAAGATTTAAAGTTTTGTTTTTATTCAAAAATCAGATAGTAATATATTTTTTAAATATTAATAATAAAGTTATAAAATTAAAAAAATTCACACATCCCCTTCTCCATCCTTTTTCTGGTGGCAAAACCACGCTCAACATATTGTGATGGAGCAACACGACTATGATGGCACCGATTTATCATCATCGGATGCTTCTGCTGCTCGTCCCTTTGCTGCTGCTTCTTGGAATCGTCTTCACAAAGGACGCAACACCGCACTTTTGAGGATTTTTTGTGTGTGCACGCGGCGATGCTGTTGTGGTGTGGTGGATTTGTGGAGGTCCAGTGATTGGTCTAGTGTTTGCAGTGGATTTGTCGAGGTCGTGGAGGAGGCGGCGACTTGGGGAATTTGGTGGGGGTAATGGTTGTGGTGTGGTGGAGTTGATGGTTGTGATTTTTTGTACAGGTAATAGTGGTTGGGTGGCAGTGGCGACTGTGATGGTGAGATGGTGGTGGCAATGGTTGTGGTGGCTCTGGCGGCGACGACGACGGCAATGATGTTGGTGTGGTCATAGTAGTAGTTGTGATAATTTTGGATCTAATTTTTTTGGTGATGTTTAGATGATGGTTGTGATATTGGCTGCCATGGTGATGTGGCAGTGGTTGCTGTTGGTACGATGTTTTATGATCAATTATTTGATTGATTGTGGCCAATAATTAATGTGGCCTAAAAAATGTCATTGGAACTCACAATTTATTTGATTGAAAAATAACTTGTGATATATTAATTTGATAAATTGTGATCGTAAAATAAGTCGTGACTTATAAAATCTATAATTTGTAACCGATGGATATATTGTAACTGAGAAATTAATTTGTTACCTATAAATTTTGACTAATTAATTCAATAATTTGTAACAAAATAATAAAAATTTGTGATTTTAATATATTTAATTAATAAAATATACTGTACGACAAAATTTCGTATATTAAAATACAGAAATCGTTACAAATTGTATTTTGATAAATACAAGTGATGTTGACTTTCTTGTAATTGCAAAATTGTAAAATCCTCTAATTAATGATCTGAATATTTGAAGACAAGGAGCCACATGGCTTGAATCCTGATCTTCAATAATTTGTTGAAAATTTGATTTGTCGAGACTTGACTTGTTTGGAACTTGAATCTTGAGGTTTGGATTTGGACTTGAATTTGATTTAACTTGAAGAACACTTTGATCTTCTTGAACTTGGCATGAACCTGTTTGATTCGAAGAAGATTTTAATCTTCTTGGGGTTCACCGAGTTAAGGCTTGACAGAATTTCTTCCTTTCTTTCAACCTTGAGATTTCTTCAGCACTTCGTGGCATTCTCTGCTTTCTTTTCTTGCTTGCTTTCTGTGTCTCGTGTGTCCCTATCTTATGGACCATTGGTCCTATTTATAGGGAAAATTTTGTGACTAATTTTGGTAACCACTCAATTATCTCTAAGTAAGAGATATAATTGAGTAATTTATTTATTTATTTATTTTATTTATATGTTTATTTATTTTAAAATGTGGTATGGATCTTCTTGTTTTATGGGTTTTAGAAGACTTTAATAAATTTAATTGGGTTGTTTATTTAAATCGACCAAATTCATTTTATTTTTTATGTCTACAAATGCCTCCCTCAAGATTTATTTATTTATTATGAAATAAATAATAATAAATCTTGATTTCTTTTGAATTGTTTGATTTTGATTTTTTTTTTATTTGATTTGATCTCAAACATTTATTTAGTAAATTAAATAGATGAAATATTTGAGAATAAAATGTGAATTTGATAAAATTCTTATCCTTCAAATTTGAGAATAAGATTTTTTTTATGTTTTTATTTTTTTATTTGTTGAATTTTGATTATTTATTTATTTTATTGACCCATAAAAATTTTTATTTGAACGGACCTGCTGCGTTTTATGATAAATTGGGCTTGGGTAAGGTCAGATACCCGCCTATTTATATGGATGAATTATGAGATTTGGAAACAAGTCTGTTAAATTTTGCAAACAGAGGTAGAGAATTTTATTTTATTTTTGTGTAATTTTCTATTTTCTATTTTTTCTTTCTCGTCTTCTCTTTCTTTCCGTTTATTATTATTATTATTATTATTATTTTTAAGCAAAACGTGAAAACCAAGAAATTTTGTACCAATTTTAATTGCTTTCTGCACATGGCAGAAAGTGGAAACCAATTAACAATTTTAAATTTCTAATTGGTTTCAAATCGGTTTTGCTTTACCCTTTTTTATTATTATTTCAGTTTTTTGGGTTCCGCCCTCAGTAGCAGAAACTTTTTTTTTTCAGCTTCTCTGTTTGGTTGGTTTGTTTGTTGATTTTTTTTTTGGACGGCAAAAATTGTTTTTTTTTTTAATACTTGGTTTCCGCCGCAATTTATGAGCTTAGCTTTGGTGATTTTTGCTAACTTCGAGTTTGGTAAGGCCGATTCCAAATTGAAAAACCAATTCCATATTGGAATATGTGAAGGCCGATTCCAAATTGAAAAACCAATTCCATATTGGAATATGTGAAGGTCAATTCCAAATTGAAAAAACAATTCCATATTGGAATCTGTGAAGACCAATTCTATATTGGAATTGGTTTGGTTTCTGACAATCTTTTCCAATTTTTATTTTATTTTTTTATTTTCTGGTTTATGCGTTGACTTATCTTCTCTTTTTTTTTTTTTAATAATTGACGTCAATTTTCTTTTTCTTTTCCTTTCCTTTTTTTTTCTTTATTTCTTTATTATTATTTTATTTTGATACCTCTTTTTTTTTCGTTGATTATTGTTAATATTATTATGTTTGTTTTTGTATATTTTGTTTTAACAATGTTGAAACTAACATTTTTTTTTTTTGCAGGGATTCAACTTTTTGGAGCGAATCAAGTATTTTGAGGTTCAAAATTTTCTTCGTGTAGAGGTTAATTTTTTTTATTTTTATTTATTATTATTATTATTATTTGCAATTATTCTATGAGTTCAGGAAAATTATATGTTTATGAACAAATTTAAAATTGCAAACCTTTTCGTGCACATTGAGGACTAATGACTGCCGTTTTTCACCATTGAATGCACTATTGTTTGGGGACCAAGGATCTACTCCTTCGACCATCCAAAAATTTTTGTGTTGAGGACCAATGACTTGTTCTTTCCATCGTCCAAGACACTTTGTGTTAAGGACCAAGGACCTGCTCCTTCCATCGTCCAAGACATTTCGTGTTGAAGACCAAGGACTGGCTCCTTCAACTGTTCAAGACACTTTATGTTAAGGACTAATGACATGTTCCTTCCAGCGTTCAAGGCACTTTGTGTTAAGAACCAAGGACCTGCTCCTTCCATCGTCCAAGACACTTCGTGTTAAGGACTAAGGACTGGCTCCTTCAACTGTCCAAGACACTTTGTGTTGGGATCAAGGACTTGTTCCTTCCATCGTCAAAGACACTTTTTATAGAGGCTGCTTACATATTTGAAAAACTAGGGATTTTAAACAATAAACCAATTTGAGAGATTTACTGCCCCCTTTTTTTTTTGCTGACTATTTTTTTTTTTGCAGGCATGGCTGGAACAAGTTTTGATGATAAAGCGTGCTCTGACATGCATGAAATTGTTAAGTTTAAAAATCAAGGCAAAAGTTATTTTATTTTCAAAGATACTGATGTGAAGTACCATGCCCAGACCGGCGTACGAGGTGAACTTAGATTTAGTGTCCATAAGCCAACGACAAATCCTTCCCCCGAGCTTCTGGAGCCATTGTCAGAGTTGCATATGTCCACCATTAGTGATTGTCACGAGAGTTTGATACTGGCAAGTCCAATCGCTCTAGCAGTCATCTTCCCCTTTTGTGTCTTCCGCTTCATCATTCCCAGAGCATGGAGTACATCCCAAGGGCTATGATTTGTGAGAGAATTGATAATAGAGAATACGATGGAGAAGCGCACTGGTCAGTCGAGGGGAGATTTCTTTTCTTGCAAAATTTTGGGAGTGGTCTTTGTGGGTCCATAAACTTCTGCTCAAGAGGAATCTCCGAG